TCACGTCAAATCCGTTTCTCTATTGTTATTTGAGCATCGTCGATTTATAGCGTCAACAACAAAACCAGATCTGAAAAGTAGTTTATAATTGCCCATGGGTGATTTTCTGCCTAGCGGAGGGAACAAAGTCACTATTCAGAAAATCGCAGGTACCTCCGATTGACAACAAAGCTCTGCTTCTCTTCCAGATTCGAATTCTTCCCTTTCTTCTTACGTTGCCCTTTACTAGAGCCAGTAATTAGCTTTATGTAACGTCAATTTATCTTTACCCATATCCCATCGTTTTCTAAAAACCCTCTTGTGGTGCAGGGATTCCTTGCAGTATTCTCCTCATCTAATCGGCTAATAAGTCTTACGTGCTCATCGGGTGCTCTCATTCAGCTGCTCAGGGAAGTAATTAATTAAATCAGTTGATTACTTGTTATAATTTCTCCATACAATTCGGAAAATACAGCGTCTAGCCTGTCCTGGAAAAGTAGAATTACATTGCAACTCTGATTTGTGGGAGCCTAAGAAAGTTTAGGGCTTGAACTCTCATCGCAGAGAGTAGTAATCCTTCACCATATAGGATACGACAATTTTTTTCTTAGTGGTAGAGTACTGTAGTACCAAAAGGATCCGTTCGATCTAGCGCTACAGTAATTCCATTACGACGGGATGCAGTCGGCCCAGTGGATGTTGGTATCGTGCGCAGCCCAGAGAGCAGGTCTTATCCGACAGCTCTCAGGATCCTTCAAGATGTTCTGGGCATGTCTAAAGACCCAACTTCACTTCTCTCCAATATCGGCTCTCTATGCAGATCATGGGCAGGCTAGAATGGTATCAAACTGCTACGATGTTTGCGATAGTAACACGAATGCATGGCTCATTTCGATCAACACTCATTCGCTTATGGCTACCATCTACGTCTACCCTTCTGAGTCAGTTAATCTCACAATACGCTCACACGTGTACGTCGTTGAGAAGGACTTCAGCGGCTTAACTCATGTGTCGTAGGTCCCGCCCAGATTATAGGAACATGATCTTTGTACCCAGGTCCAGGAAGCATTTACGACAACTATGTTTGCCTTGCCATTGGCAGCTACTCAATCACTATAAACGCTCAAGAGAAATGCTCTTGGGGCACCCTAGGAAAACTCGTCCGCCTACAAGTTCTGTCATAAGGAAACGAACCTATTTTCCACAGCCCTCTCTTGACCTTTAGAGATCCCCTTTAGTTCATCTTCTGAACTCTGGTTGGATTAACCTTTCCTTGCTCGACCAACTTTTGGCCACCCTGCTTCACACTAAGTGAGATTAGGCTTCAGTACATTTCTTTTCTCTCCTCATGAAACTCATTCAAATTTCTTTGCTACAGAGGTCCCCTCCATGATTTCAAGAAAGTATTTTATGGTATTCACTGATCATAAGTGTTAATCAATACTATTCTGTTGTAATTCAGCGTAGACTGGTTAACTAGAAGTCTTTTGCTCTTGAACCTGGGGAATGGGCTGAACTATACAGTAATCAATCAGACTGAACTATACAGTATGCCATTCAAAATTTAATTTATCGACTGCCTTGGGACACTCAGAACCTAATTGTAATAAAGTGTAATGAAGGCATGGACAAAAATCAAAAATAATTTTGCATATTTGCTACAAAAAATAACGTTGTTAGTCATAGAGGTCGCTAAAACCACCCATACGTAATATGCCGTACACTCAGCCCCCCAAAAAATTCTAGAAAGCTTAGTTTCCTGATTGATAAGTTCCCCGAGACCAGTTTCAGGACCGGACCATAATTTATTTGGTCAAAGAGAGGAAAATTGTGAAAAACCTCGAACTCAAATTCAAAAAGAAGTTCAAGTAGAAACAAAAAAAGTTCCGAAGAAAGCTACGTACATAAACTGTTCGGTACGATTGTCAGGCAGAATGGTCTCTGGTAGGAGATTTCAGGCTTTTCTGTCTCGCGTGCAACAAAGAGGCTCCATTTGGTAACCATAACTATACTGTCAACCCAGAGTTTAGTAAATCTTTCTAAATTGACTTCCAAGAGCCCCAATCTCATTCTCTCTTTTCTATAAGCTTGCCAATTTCTACTGAATGTTAATTCTATCAATTGTAATAGGCTAATTACTGTGTATTCATTCATATCAGAAATTTGCTGAACCTTATTCATCTATAGATTCAAGAGACACTCGTCCCGGAATTCAACCTTACTCTTGTTTTATATTCTTTATTTCCAAAACGGTTTGCTGGCCTGGGAAGTAACCAAAACGAGTGCTTAGTAAGTTTTTGGATTGATTGCTGATGTAAACCCCTGGTGGAAAAATCTGATATTTTTTTAATCTGGAAGCTGTCGTGGTTCCATACTACTACCTCCAACTCCCGAAAGTTAATTACCCTGCAAATTCTGAATTTTTTCACTTTCTGGCTTTTCGGAATTCGGAAACCGTAATACGAAATCATATTAGCTCTTAAAGCCAACTGTGGGTGTCATGTAGGTAGCATACATAGTCTTTCCATTTCCTCTTCGTTCTTCTCTCTCAGAGGGCTAAACTAAAACTACCCTACACCATACCTTTTCACCCACCTCTTTTCTCCCCTGAGCAAAGTGCACCCCAAAACCTAGTCCTTCACCACTTTCTTTAATGCTTCCCATCGTAACCGATGCTTTTTTCTCCCGGTTGCCACCGTTTACTGGCTGGGTTGCTATGATGAGCGACTAATAATGAAGGATTTGCGGTAGTGGTGGTGGCTGTTCTGTTTCTGAAAGAGCCCTTCTTTCTCATCGTGCTCCGAAAACTCGTCCATAAACCACATCTGCAAGCTATCATAGTACTTTTGCTCATTTATCTGCAACTAACGCATCCCGAGAATTGTCATTAAACAACGGGCAACGGCTACTATTGGGAAATTGCTGTCTGGGAATCGATTACGTTTATGTCTGGATTATGAGCTAATTATAACAATTGTTTTCTATCAAGGCTTCCCTTCAGGGTTCCCACCCGGTAGGTAGACTCTTGACTAGTGCTGGAACTATATGAATTTCTGGGTCCTAGAAATTTGAGCATTATCTTTGAGATGATTTTATTCAGTGCTCAAGCGATTGCAAGGAAATAAACGAGCAAATTTAGAGCAAGCCCGAGTTCTTACAGTGAGCCCTCTAATGCTCCAACCTACTCGACCAATTAGTATATAATATTTTATTGCACTCCCGGATTAATGCTGAAAGCATTCAGAGCAACAATAGGGTTACGGTAAGAATTTGCGTTGGTACCGAAGTTTCGTTCCGATGGAAAATAGTAAAATACAAGCGCCATGGTTAAATGTGTGATTTTAGTTATCCAAGGATGGGGCAAGGGCAAGTGGCGCAGTCACCGCACGTGGAGTTCTAATCCAGTCCAAGTATCGAATCCCAGATTGCTTCTCACTCAAAAATCACAAACTACATCATCCCGTGGCTAAATGGTAGGCAACAGGTTCACCGATGAGGCAGAAAGTGCTGGCAAATATTTTTTCGACAAGGACCTATTCATATCCCATTTCGGTTGGAAAAGAATGTCAAGTGTTTGGCGTAACCTGAAGATCAAACAGCCCGGCACACACATTTTCCTCTGTTGAACTCCATCATTCCACTGAAAAATTTCCCATTTAACTCCCACACTTCACTAACCACTCCATTGCCCGCTTTTCTGGAAATTTGGTTCCTCGAAACAACACTGTATTACTCAATTTTTAAGATGTTTTGAGGTAGAAGGAAGTGAGTTCG